CATTCTGCATGATGTCAGGTTTCTAACGCACAGCGGATTGACAGTGCAGTGAAAGCTCTATTTGTGTAGTATGCCTCGGTTGCTTGGGTTTTAATATTAAAGTAATTGGTCAGGTTGTTTTCTGCTGTGAAATTCAGCGGCATGGTCCAAAAAGTAACTTCCTGTGGTGCAACGAAGAAGATGAGAAGTGATTATGCGAGGCAGCGGTGAATAGTATTTGATGATATATGATCCAAACAAATCTACCTCTGGCGCTAAAACAAAAGCAAACAGCGACTAGTTTACTGATGCAATTAATCTCCATAATCTTTGCCTATTCAATAAGAGTGCTAACAAAGAAAAAGATGCAGGTCTGTTAGGACACAGGTGCTGTTTTAATTTTGATTACTTGCTTTGTTATTACTTTCAGAACTGTCGTCAAAGTGTGCCGTAAGGTAAATTAGCACTTTTCCTGTGATTAACTTGGCCTTCATCAGTCATATTATTGAAATGCCTCGAGAAATTCCTTATGGTGAGAATGCATAAACACACACACATCATATAGGCATGTTAGTAGTGCCATTCATCTATATTCTAGCTGTCTTCTTAGTGCTCTAGTTCATAATCAACTCAACTACTTGAGAGAAAAAGGTATCAAATATTAAGATAATCAGAACATCAACTTACGGTTATTTTTCTGGGCCATGCCGACTCTCTGCCTCTCGTCTCTCGCTCACTCTGAAAGACTTAACGCTGCTGAAACCTGAACTTAAGCTAAAGATTGTGATAATCAGCCATTCACACACACACACACACACACACACACACACACACACACACACACACACACACACACACACACACACACACACACACACACACACACACACACACACACACACACACACACACACACACACACACACACACACACACACACACACACACACACACAACCTAAAAGTAGTGGACAAAGACATTTTCCCAATTTCAATCTCAAATGAAAGTCTGCCTATTTTATCGATCTCATCTTATCTCAAATTGGTAAGACCTCTAGTCCAACAAAACAAAACCGATAGAAGAAATGTCTCTGAGTGTTGTTATGTCAACCCTGAAAAAGGAAAGAATGATATGAGCAGCAAAAGAGAAAGTTCTATTTTCTTAAAAGTTGTTCTCTGAGGTCAGGTTCAGGACTCATTAAATCATTAATTATGCTAATAAATGTAGTTCGCTGTTGAAAATGTGAAATTTCACATTATCTCACCCTGCTCCAAAGTTTTCATCATTGAATCTAAGTGGCCTTCAATGCTTATGTTCACGTTCATTTTAGTATTCTGTGCCTCGACTGTGACATGTCTATTTCTCTCATACTGCCTGTGCTGCAGCACCTCTTTTCACCCTCTGTCTGAAACCAGAGCCCAGTCTGCTCTGATTGGTTAGCTGGCCGGCTCTGTTGGGATTGGTCAACCACCTAGTATGTCCATAAGAGCATAATAGGTCCTCTTAAATGACAATTGAAATTATATTTTACACTGATCAACAGAAAACAACCCATTGATGTCAAGGTGAAACAAGAACTCTAGAGTCATCTTAAAAACGTACAGATATAAATTACAAATGCATGTTGACAAGTATTGAATTTAATATCTGGATTTGAGTCCTGGACTTCGAGTCGTGGCTGAACCTGTCTCTGTGGTCCTGCCTGACTCTCATCATACTACTTCCCTGATGGCTCCCACAGGATTGTTGGCATCCTTGTGGATTCACCTTCTTATTATAGACACATGCATTTCCAAACATTTGGTCTACCTATGTTGTAAATGTATTATCTCTTCGATTTACACACGGCATCTATTGCACGTCTGTCCGTCCTGGGAGAGGGATCCCTCCTCTGTTGCTCTCCCTGAGGTTTCTCCCATGTTTCCCTTTAAACTGTGGGTTTTCTCTGGAAGTGTTTCCTTGTACGATGTGAGGGTCTAAGGACAGAGGGTGTCGTATTGTCATTCTGATATTCTGTACAAACTGTGAAGTCCACTGAGACAAATGTAGCATTTGTGATATTGGGCTATATAAATAAACATTGATTGATTGAATATGGCACACCAATATCATCACTGTTGCATCCATTTGGTTTTCGAAGTCACCGAATCTGTGTGGAATTGTTTGTAGTGGCGATACACATGTACCTGGAAGGTGTTTAAAAGCCGAGGCTTCACAGGAATTGCTTGACAACAACAATATCAATGTCCTGGAGGGACTGAGTCAGATCCGAGCCAGATGAGAATCATGGCTGGACTCTAAACACACTGTCTCTCACCGTTCCTGGTGCATCCGCACAGAGCTTGGGCAGTATTGCAGATAACTGGGATACTTCTGTGCCAAAACAAGCTGTATTTACTGCCAGAGGTGCCTCAATTCATTATTAAATTGGATAAGTTGAATACTAGAGTCTGAAGAAGTATGCAGATTGTATACTTAAGTAAAAATAGCAATACGAGATTGAAAAACGACTGCGTTAGCGCTTCATACTTAAATGAAAGTACAAAATATATCTAAAGTACCAAAAGTAAAAGTACATGTTTGCACAATGGCTAATTTCAGAGTCATATATGTTACTGGATTATGCTTATTAATGCATTCATGTGTTCATCACAACTGGTCAATTTAAAGCAACATTAACTTACTTCGGATACTGCTCCTGAATATTTTTGAGCATGTCAACATTTTTTCATATAGTTGATTTATATTTTGTATTTGCTAATAATTATGAATCTGTAAAGTAACTAAAGATGTCAGATGGAGTACAAAGTATAATTTGCTACCAAAGCGTAGTGGAGTAGAAGTTTAAAGTTGCATTAATTTAATACCTAGGGAAAGTACAAGTACCTTAAAATGTCACTTATGAATACTAGTGAATATATATGCATAGAGAAATTGGTTTCCACTTTTAATAAAAAGGCTCTTATTCTGTTCTTCAGTGTAAAAGAAAAGCCTCCTTACATTTACTTTTATTAAAACATGAACACCTCTGAAGGGGGTAAATACTTTTTATTGACACTTCAGCTGCAGCAATTCTAACTTTCCTCCAACATACCCTCACAACGGCAACTGGCTCGTCTGAAGCATGTGAATGAGAGGAATAACAATCGAGCGCTCATTACCTTGAGGCCAATTGTGCTGGTAATTGTGAGAGGATGACAACAGGTTGGCCAGCATTAAAGCTCATCTTCCTCTGGCTAGTTCAACACCTGCCTGCTGGCCACCAGCCTAATTCTTTTCTGACGGCCTCAGCAGGAATGATTGATGCCCGAAGGCTTTTGACGGTGTGCGTTGGTGTGTGTTTCATTGCCAAGCTGCTCCATCCATACAGAGCTCCCTCTTGAAACTCATTTACAGCCCACCTGTCACTGCACACACTGCTTGCTTGATGTTTTGCCCTTATAGGCTTACCGGGGACACACACTCTTTCCTGATAAGCCGGGACTGTGTGGTACTGATAATATTTGGGAAAGTCCAATCACCTTTTGGGGGATTTCTGAGGCAATGTAGGTTGAGTAATCTGTAAATCTTTATTGTTTAGCGAATGCTGCACAATGGTTATTGCTGACAAAAGAGTGGTGCAGTAATGAGTCCTAAAGACTAAGCATTTTAGCACTTCTGGTTGCCTTGTCCCGGTGTTAATGTTTTTTCTGTATGTGTTTGTAGAAGCCTGAAATAAATTGGTTCTACGACATAATCTACATCTGTAAATAAATACGCCACTCGTGAATGTCTTCTGTCACAAAAACGGGGATGCTAACGAGTGACTAGATGAGAAAACGAAACGTCATCACACCAACATGAGTTTGCCTTCAGGTGAGCAGTGGAGATGATGCGCATGAGACTCATGTAGTTTGTTTATAGCATTATGTTAGCTTTTTATTTCTGCAGATTGCATTCACGCTTCAAAAATCAGGAGATTATCCTGATGAACGTGGGTCGGCTGTAAAGTTTATTTTCTGCAATATACCGAAATCTAAATGGGAGCCTTTGCAATGCTCATTTCCAGGGTCAAACCTGTCATCACTGCAAATACTCTGCTCAAATCAGGCAGTACACTGTAGTTGACAGGAAACTTGTGTTTATATTGCTCAAAATGTCTGTTTCTTTGCCATGAAAGAGTAAATCCCATTGCACTTTCACCTCTACTACGTCCAGTCCCTCCTCACACCTATCATAAGACCACTTATATGGACAGACTTAAGCTTATTCTCCTTTGTTTGGTGTCGATAATCGCTGCCTTGTGTATGATGACCTGAATTCATTGCGTTATACTGAACTCTTTATCCCCTTTTTATGCCACACACACACACACACACACACACACACACACACACACACACACACACACACACACACACACACACACACACACACACACACACACACACACACACACACACACACACACACACACACACACACACACACACACACACACACACACACACAGAGAGAGCTCTTTCAGCTCCAAAGAATTTTAAACCTCCCAATGTCCTGATACTATTGCATTTTTCATTGGTATTTTAAGCAAAGAGTTGTGAGGTCTTAGAAGTCAGCTGGCATTAATTCCTCTGAGGCAGAGGGATTCAGCTTCTCCCTGGAAAGAGGCTTAAAAGAAAGTTCTCTTGCTTAATTTCTCCTTTCTCACGTATATTTTTAGATTCCATAGTGGACAGGAGAACAATCGGTAATTGAACGTTGTTCTGTTTAATGTCCAATAATTGGTTTCGTAAAATACCTTATTGAGATGCATTGTTCTCCCATTTGCAAATTATGAAATAATCTGACTACACAGAGAAGTTGATTCATTGTTTCAATATTTCCATGGTTGAGGGAAATGGACTGTCAGGGGTGCATAATACATCAAGGAAAGAAGAAATACTGAGATCATTAATGCTGCTTTGTGGAAAAAACATGACATTTAATGCATCTTTTTCAAACTGCCATGATAGCTAGCTGTAGAAATGAGTGATTGAATATCACACAACTGAGCGATTTATGCGTTAAATGAAACCAGAAGCATCAATGAACTGAAATAATCTTAATGCACATTAGCTGTGGTATCAGGGGCCAAGGTTTTAAGTCCATTAGATATGCTTCTCCATTCGCATCACATTTATTCTGGCCAGTTTGGAGATCCAGCGATTGGCATGTGTGATACTGTGGGATGACGTTTGAACAAAACCAAACTTTTGGTACAGGGCAATGGCGGCCGTCTGTGGCGAGCTGCCATCCAGAACCAGTCGGCCGTATCCTCGCTCTTTGCAGAAATCAAGGGCCTTCCTCATCAGCTGTGAAGCGAGGTTTTTGCGGCGCCACGGGAACACCACAACCATGTAAGACAACTCGCCGAAACTCCCATCACCGGCATCTTGAACGAGCTCGGATCCTCCTCCCATCGCTCCTCCGTTCCACTTATCAAACCTCTCCTCTTCCTCTGCTGCCCTTTCCCCCTTCACCGCCACCATCCCCACCACCTTGGGCTGGCCGTCTACGTCTACCTCTGCCACCCAGAAACCGTTATCTGGGTTTTCCAGGTAGTTGGCTCGAATGTCGGACAAATCTGTGCTCAGCCTCCTGGTCAAGTAGCCTTGGTAGATCTCGTGGCAGCAGTAATAAAGGAGGCCGGCCCACGCGCTGCCAAAGAGTAAAGCTTGGAAGTAGGAGCTGCCTCCCAACACATAGCCGGCCATGCAGATGCTCAGAGCAACGCCAACATGGTCTGGGTGGCTCAGGGCCTTGAAGAAAGCCGGGTACACGTGCTCAATAACCCCGTCGCGAAAGAGCGACATGACCACGTGTTCATCGGAGGGTCCATATTCCCTGATGGAGAACTGAACTGTGTTTTAGAGAGAGAGAGAGAGAGAGAAAAGGGGAGCTCAGTGAGACTAATCTGCCTCTTGCTGCAATAACACATTCCTGCAGGATTTCACAATAGCCTCAGTGACGCTCACGTAACTTCAATATGAAAAGGAAAAAAATAAAATCAATATAAAATCCAAGCCTTTTCATTTCTTATTTAACTCGATTCCACATGAACATAAGGCCTGGCATATGAAGGTGAAAATCACAATCAAAAATTATTTATTATAAGCTTTGTTTCTCTTAAGATTTAAAGAGTGGTAATCATTGTTAGACGCAGTACTATTAAGTCTCAAAAGCACATTAAAACCAAAGCAAGGTGAGAACACTGCAACAAACAAAAGCTCTTTGTTTCAGTGAAGTGTGTCATATAGGCATGTTAGTAGTGCCATTCATCTATATTCTAGCTGTCTTCTTAGTGCTCTAGTTCATAATCAACTCAACTACTTGAGAGAAAAAGGTATCAAATATTAAGATAATCAGAACATCAACTTACGGTTATTTTTCTGGGCCATGCCGACTCTCTCCCTCTCGTCTCTCGCTCACTCTGAAAGACTTAACGCTGCTGAAACCTGAACTTAAGCTACAGATTGTGATAATCAGCCACTCACACACACACACACACACACACACACACACACACACACACACACACACACACACACACACACACACACACACACACACACACACACACACACACACACACACACACACACACACACACACACACACATACACACACACACACGGAAAACGTGTGGACCTTAAATGACTTTGAAGTAGAACTGCTACTGATATGAAATATTGATTACATAAGAAATGTAACAGTTAGATTAAGATGACGTTGATTTGAGGAAGCATGCTTTCTATTTAATGCAAATCCACACTGTGTTGCTTTGATTATGAAACTTAGTATACGTCTTAAAAACTGAATTAGCTCAGTAAACAGAGAAGATGAATACTTTATTGGATTTGTCAATGAAGATGAGCATGCATCCTGAATAAATCAAGTCAGAATTGAGCAGAAAGTGAATTGAGGGCTCATTCAAGCAGACTAAAATGTTCTTATTGACCTCTTTTTTAGTGCTTTAGTTCTGGCATTCTCTCAGGGAACTGCTGTGGATCTCCACATGTCCTCTTCGCCGGAATATAAGGTGAAAGTAAAATTAATATTGTCTGGCCCCCTGACACCAAAGTGTCCTATGGCGGCGGTGACAGTGTCTTGAGCAATAACCCGGGAGCCCTCTGACATGATTACATTTCCTTGGCAGGAGAAAGGCCTTTACACCTGTTTAAATCAATAGCGCCCCTTCATGAATCTCTGAGTGCCAGAAGGTCAAGCAACCCTGGAAGTTCCTCACACCTCTTCACAGCCACAACATGAAGTCTGAATCCTGCAAAAACAAACCCTTTCAAAACCACTCACAAAATCTAATCACAACTAAAACAGTCATCACAGAGAGCGGATGATTAGAGCAACAACAATAAAACCTCAACGTTTGTGATTAATCGGGAAACCTTAGCGCGTTAAGAAAAATGGACGCTAAATATGACCAACTTTAACCCGAACTTCCTCCTTTGATTCCAGCGCAGATTTTTGCCATGAATTGCATGGCAGTGAAAAAGCTAATAAAACACAGGAATTGGTACTCAATGTGTTGCACTGACTGGAGACAATTAGACTTCAGTAAGAACCATCACTATATTGGTGTAACAGCACACCTAATCTGTGACAAATAGCAACTGCACTGAAAACAGAGAAAAGGCATTTTGCTGAAGCATGTGCGAAACATTTCTCTTCCCAGTGTCTCATGCATTTCTTTATTACAAAACCACATGGGTGTTTGTTTTATTTCTCACAGAAAAGCAGGTAAATACTACTGGTCTGTTCTGACAAATGTTCTACTGTAAAGTTACAATGGCATCTTTCTATATAAGGATGGACGAACTACATTTCTGTAACATGATTTAATTTTGAATTGAAAAAGAAAGCTTAAGCAGCTCAAGGTTAAATACAAAGATTTCAAATGCACAAAGGGACTGGAGCACACTGATGGATCTTTAGACTTTAATTGTGTGAAGGTTTCAACACTATTGTGTCTTAGTGTGAGTCACTAAGTGCCTTTCTTTTACCTGACTGTCCTTCAGCTGACAGGTGCCTGCACAGAGGACTGAGTCTAAATTAGATTTAAAATACACATCCTGACGGCCGGATTAAGATCAATGCAACACATTTCTCATGTGAGTCATCTTATGCGCTCACACGAAAGAATCTGTCAGTATGAGACACTGTGAACTGACTTGAAGTCGTTAGGGAGATTCTTTTTATGTCAGTCTATATTAAAATAAAATAATAATATTATAGAGAAAAACTTTTTTTTTTGAGAAACCTTTGTGCAAAATCAATATTCAAACCATCTGTCCACGTCCTTTTACTTTCAGACTTCAAAATAATACACAACAGAACCCTTTATATAAAGCATGTTGGCAAATAAGGACTTAACAACCTCAGAAAAACAACTTAATGGCTCTATGCCTGGGCACAGTTGGAGTTTTTAAGGACTTATCAAATCTAATAAAAATGTTGACTCACAAAAAAAACATCGCAGCCACGATGGTTATTTATTAAGGTTTCAACAGAAAACACATTTTAAAATCCAATCGTACGGCACCTTGTGAGGAAAAAGTCACCTTTATTTTGTTAATGTTTCTTTCTAGCTAGGTTCAGGGTATATGCAGGAATCCTGAAGTCAAATGTAATCCCTTTTAAGACCTCTTTTAAGACCCTTTCCATACATTTTAAGACCTCATCGCCACTTTGAGTTTTAACCGGTTACATTGGCGACACACTTTACCTCATATTTACTATATACAGTATGGATTGTCCTTCCTCCTTATCTTCCAACCATTTGGACGCAGACTTGCATTTCCCCATAACGATGTTGTTTAACAACCGGCGTAAACGGACCTTCGCGCGCTATCAAGCAGTGAGCGTGCGATGTCCTGTTCAGATGACGTCAAATCCAACGGGATGCCATAAATAAACTACACAGAATCACACTACACACCTACGCAATGATTACATTCAGGCAGACTGTAGAATACAACCTCTTTGGACAATTTATATACTTATTGAAAACAAGCTACAAAATGTAATACCTTGGAAAATGCCCTTTAATACTTTTTAATAGCCTTCATTTTCGCTACATTTATTTATCAACTTTTAATACTTTTTAAGACCCCGCGGACACCCTGAGCTTAAAATGCATGCTGCTGATTGCTGCAACATGCTAGTTAGCTTTAAGTCTTTAGCTTGTTGTTGTTAGCTAGCATGTTGTTAGCTCGTGATTAAACACTCAGTAATTAGTGATTTGGACCTAACTCAACTAAACACCAGTTATTATACAATATTAGAGGGGGGTGACCTTCAGACTGACGGCACTCTTCAACGCAACTTTATATTGAAACTCTGCCATTTTTCTTTGGTAAAATGCTATACCAGTGGGGATGCTAATTAGTGTTTAGCACTTACAGTAGACTGATTAAAGTTATACACAGTGATGGTAGACTACTGAGTGGGCCGTGACATTCAGATGAATCTATTCATCAAGCCAGACAGCTTGGGGGAGTGACAGTAGGATTAAAAGGTATTTTAAGGTCAGTAATACAGGCAATAATTAAACATTTGTTGCATCCGGGAGGCGTATATATGCGTTTTAGGTTGGAATAAATGATTTGTAACTCGTGAAAAGATTCATTTTGAATGCAGGGTTCTCTGGCAATTAGCAGACAAAAGTTAAAATATCCATAACTTTTAACATAATGACCTCAATATGTAATACTCTCACTGCTATTGGCTAGCGCTCCAGCATTGTATGTGATAGGCTAAGGGGCGGGACATCTCTAAGCGGTTGACCAATCCCAACAGAGCCGGCCAGCTAACCAATCAGAGCAGACTGGGCTCTGGTTTCAGACAGAGGGTGAAAAGAGGTGCTGCAGCACAGGCAGTATGAGAAAAATAAAAAGCTTTTTGAACATTAAATCACGGAGACATGTCCCAGTAGAGACACTACATACAATATGAACCTGAAAATGAGCAGCATATGTCCTTTTCAACATTGAAACTGAAATGGATAGACTGTAACTGGAATGAGAAGAAGTCTTAAACAAACATTCGATGATACATGTTCTGAAACACTGAGGTAATACAATCATTTTCATAATCACTTTATAAAAAGCCAAGGACAAAGTTACTTGGATTGAATTTAAAGCAATGACCACTTATTGTAATTTTAGCTGTTGCATTAATCAAGTCATCTTTGAACAACATGAATGTGTCATGGTATGAATTGCTTCACAACATAATACTTCATCATCACAGGCAGTCTTGATTTCACTTGATAAAATAAGGTAAGAGTACTTCAGAGTTGATTGCTCCTCGTCATGTAACACTAAGTCACCAGAAAAAAGGTTAAAGTTGCCCTGGAAACTAACCACTGATGTACACTGCATGCTCCACTTCTAATGGGGCCATGAGTGTCCAATGAATTGTATTTTTATTCATGGCCGTGTACTTGCAGGCGCATTGTGGAAGAATTGGTATGCTTGTCATAGAGCTATAACATTAAGGGATTAAACCATTACATTATGGAGTTTTTACCTGCAGTGCCTATAGCCAGCATTTCAACGCACCTCAGACAACTTTCATTCCAACCCACTGCTCTCTTTAGAAATCCTGAGCTGTATTTAAATGTACTTGTGGCTTTCTGTATATTAAATGTGCATATAAGCAGAGTTAAAACACTCCCAAGTGATTTCCTTTTAGTTTCAGACGTCCTTCATTACTAGAATAATGCATTTTCTTTTGTATAAAATTAAATGTTTGAGGTCTGAGAGTGCCCCAGTGAAAATGAAATATGGAAATGTAGTTGGACCTGTTAGTTTTCACCTTTGAAGTACATGAGAGTGGGAGCTGATCATTTATTATGCACAAGGAATGGCAACCAAGACATACAATATCTCTGAGCAAAATCAAACACTCTAAAACACTAATCTGGTCACAATTTCTAAAGATAAAGAATCTTAATGGTGTATCTATGTTGGGGTCAATGGAAGTGCACAGTACATTTACAATATTGATGTCTCAATACCACCTTACTACACTATCCAATGAGAGTTATTTGTATTGAGTTAAAAGGGGGGGGGGGGGGGGGGGGGGGGGTGATGCCCCTGTGGGTTCATCTGGAGAGGGTGTGGATGTGCTGTGTGCAGCCTTGATTGCAGTAACTCAGGGCACCTGGGTCTGGTGCTCTGCAGCTACTTACAGGGTGTTTCTCAATCGCGAGTAAAGCTGCTTCAGAGCCACTATTTCAAGCATACTACGTCATCGAGTGGCGCCGAAGGACTGTTCCAATGTCCAGCATACTTGGAATTCTACCGAGCCCGGCGTACTTCGTAGCGAGAAATGTTGAGGCTGCACATGTGTAGAGTCCGCGGTCTTAAAATCCCCACA